GTTCTTTTTTTTTTTTAATGTAAACTGACCAATATCTTGTTTGGAAGGCGACATTATATATTTACAAAGGGTGAATAGACAATTTTTTGATTTGGCGGGCCAATTACAAATCAAACCAAACCCACATGTAAACATATAACTGATGATGGCCTAATTACTAGCTTCCGCTTTCCTCAATTACCACTAAAGCTGTTTCATCATTAAAATTTCCACGCATAAGAAGCTACTACATACATCATCCATCATCCATACCTTAAAAGCAGGCAAGTAAAGAAATACCTAATTGCCCAGACAATAGAATTCAAGGGCTCTTAAACAAATGCCAATTATTTATCTCTTCCAGCATAGAAACATAACAAAGCAAATTAAATCAGGCAAAAGCACATGTACCAGATCATAGCCGCCCAATCTAATGACAGATCTCCATAACCTAGCAGCCAAAAACATAAATTGTTCATGATATACCAACAATCATACTAGGAAGATAAAATCGCACAATCACAACAAAGGGGAACATACTTGCAAAGGTTAAGAGGCTGCCCATAAAACTTGGGTGGTTTAAAATCCATTCCCCTCTCCCTGTAAAAAGTTTCAAGTTCCTTTACAAATGCCGCTTGTTCCTCTGGCGTTCCATCGTCACCCTCAAGCATCTAGAAATCAGAAAAAGAAAACATAAATTGACACCAAAGTTGACAATAACTTCACTTTCAAATTTGATCCAGTGTAAGACTTGATAGATTTCCATTTAATATCTCTTCTATTTGATATTATCAAAAAAAAAAACCTGGGCATCCTTAGCTACATGTTTCGATGCTTCCCCACTATGACTTCCAGACCTCTTGCTTGAATATTTCATAGGTAAATCAGGCGTAGCTGGCTGACGCTTATTTACAGCTGGAGCGTCACCTGCTTCTGGTTTAGTTATTCTGGTCGCTGTCTTGTCACCCAACTTGACATTGTCATCAGATACTGTAGCCGGAAGGACTGATTTTACGCCGGGTTCTTTGCGTCCATTTAGGGTATCTTCAGTCTCATTCTCAAGAAAATCTTCTGCCGAACCTTTCACCATTTCTTCACCCTCACCCTGCGGAGCCTCATCCGCAGCTTCTTTCTTTTTGGGAGGAACCTCACTCACTGGTAATTGAAAGGGCAGTTGTCCATTCTGGGTATGGTTCTTTGGCTCGTCGGCCTTTTCAAAAACCTTTTGGTCCTCGAAGAGACTGTCAACAGCATCTTCAACCTCATTGCTATTTTCAGGGGAGGTTTCTTCTTTTGCTGCACTCGAAACGACCTTCATTCCGGTTTCAGCAACCAATTGCTCCTCTTCCTCTGCCGCTTCTGCCTTGTTAGTGGCCTCCTTGTTTGGTTCCTCCAATGCACCACTGGGGTTATCTTCGTTAGGTTCCTCTGTCGTATCAACCTCCTTATTATCCTTGTTTGGTTCCTCTGACTGAGCTTTAGCACCATTTGAGCCGTCAACCTCAGAACCGCCGGCAAAACTTCCATCCTCAGCTTCAACTTTGGAAATGTTTAGGTCGCTTCCTTCGGCCTTGATGTTGGTTGGTTGGGCATCGTTGTTTTCACCAACAACATTGGGCTCACCGTGTTCCTCGTGGGCAAGAGGATCAGCTGCAGCTTCAGCGTTTCCCTGTAATTCAGCAGAGGTTTGGTGGGAGGGAAGTTGTTGACCCTGAGGCTTGTTGACATGTGCATCTGGAGTACCAAGTGCATCATCAGATTTGGTTTCGTGACTTAACCCCTCCTGGGGCATTGTTCCTGCATCTTCCATCTCCACATCACTTTTATCCATTTGGGAAGTCTACTGCAAGGGAACAGAACAAACATTTACCACCAATTCCCAGAATTACACGTTAGTAACAACTATCCGGGAGGCATACAACGAAACGAATATCAGATTTTTTTTTCTTTTTTTTTTTTCGGGTGTGGTAGAAGAAAGATAAGCCTTTTATATATAGCTACCCACAAAGAATTTTTTTTTTTTTTTGGAAAAAAAATATGTTACGGTTTGGGGGAGAACGAATAAGCCATTGAAATCTTTAGAAAGGAGGAATAATAAAAAAAAAAGAAGAAGAAGAAGACGGAAAAGCTATGAAAAGATGAAACGTCAAAAGGAAAGGAGTAAAAAGCAGACAGAGAAGGCGCACCCCTGCCTGCCTAGAGTAATTAAGCGTAGGAGGACGAAATTAGGGATCGGTTCGTTTGTTGATGACTCCGTCGTATCACGTTACAGAAGGAAGGGGGGGGGGGGTTGGGGGGAAGGGAATTAATAAAAGAAAGAAAATTATATATGGAAAAGCAGGATAAGGCAAGGGAAGCAAGAAATCATTAAAATGGTATATAAGGACGTAAGCGAGAGAGAAGGAATAGCAGTAAAATGGAAATGGAAAAAGAAGAAGAAGAAGAAGAAGAAGAAGCGAGGGAGGAGATAGAGAAACGTACCTTGATTGGGAGCGGGGGACGGTGGCGGGGGCGGCCAGGGTTGGGCGGGGAAGAATTAATTAGGAGGTGGGAAATAGGAAAGCAAGGAGCTTTTGTTTTTGTTTTGGGGAGGGGAGGGTTAATTAGGGTTTGGTGATGAGGGAGGGAAGGAGATAACAATTAACAGTAGAGGGGAGTGGGAAATGTTGTTGTGTAGAGAAGAGAAGGGAGAGGGTATGGTGGTAAATTGAAATTGAAGAAAAGAAGGCGGAGACAGTGCAGAAGCAGAGGAGGCCGGTGAGGAAGGGACACGGAGGAGAGGAGAGGACAGGCAACAAATATTTGGAGATACTCTGTACTATACTATACTACACTACTCTGCTCTGCTTGCTTACTTGCTTGCTACATCACCAACGACATATCCAAATCCCTAATACACTAACTACTACCTAACGATCCAAACCCCATTGCCTTGGCCTTGTGTGTGTTGTGCTGCCAATCCAAAAAAATATGTTAATGCTAGTAAGTAGACCTTTTTTCTGAAGAAAAGAAGAGGGGAAGGGGGTCCGATGAGATTAGAGCGAGAGAGAGGGTACTATTATGATCTGATCTGCCACTAATAATTAGTAGTAGTACCATACCAAGGGGGGGGGGGGGACTTGGGTAGCTCTGTCGGAGGAGAGATAGATTTGAGATTAGATAAAGAAGAAGAATCCTAAAAGATAGATACCCACACTGTCAAATTACCATCGTAATGATTGGATATTAGTACTGTATATATATGGTAAGTATTTAATTTGGGTGTGTGCGTACGTGCAAAGGGAGAAAGAATGAAAGAAAGAAAAAGAAGCCCACCAAATTTCGCTCCGGGGTACGTCGCTGTGTGTCTGTGTGTGAGAGAGAGAGAGAGAGAGAGGGAGACAGAGAAAGGTGCGGTGCGGATTCCTAGTTCAAATACTTAGACCGGGTTTACCTCTCTCCCTCTCTCTCTCTCTCTCTAAGACAACAACAAATACACACTACTCCAACCAATTCATTCATTCAAAAATCAAAAAAATTCCTCTTAAAAAAAACTCTGTGTTAGAGACTAATAAATACACACACCTTATTGTCTGTCCCGAAACAAAACATTCCATTCCCCTGCAACTTTCAACTTACGTTAGAGTACTAATATGCTCTAATCATAATAAACGATAGTATGCCGGAAATGGGGTGGTACGTTGCGTGTCCCTAGTGCTAGCAGCTTGCTGTATGACAACATTATCCATATTCACTCTTTCACTTTACCCCTCGCCTCGTCTCAATGAATGAGCACTTTATCTGCTACTACCACAGTACTACTCAAAATCAAGAGGAACGGTGGGTGAGCAGAGAGCTGCAATGTGTCTTTGTGCAATACTGACAAGTGTTGGCTTGTCGTGTGCGTGTGACTGTGCCACTTCCACAGGCGCAGGCGATGGATGGATGGATGGATGTTCTCTGCTACCTGAGCGTACCATCAATACAGTAATTATTACGTTACGTGTGCGCGGTGCCTGTGCGGCTTTTGTTGGTGGGTACTTTTTCTTCCGTACTAGAAGTACAACTGTACAAGAAGCACTCGCAGGATTAAAAGAGCGGACTGACTAAAAGAATCAGAGAAATTGTTCTGCCTTCTACAATCCTACTCTCTACTGCTACCAGGTATCCCTCAAATTTCACCTCAAAGTCTTGTTTCTCTGCACATATGATGATAACTCATAACAACACACACATAACACACACCGCCATACACATCTCTGTTTCTCCGCCTCGTTGATCCATCTCATTTCACACCAATTGATAATTCCGGTTTCTTTCTCTTTTGCATGGTTTTGTATTCTCCTGTTTTTATTCAATCTATCTCAATATCTGAAGCACTGTGTATACCTTTCTTCTCTTTATCGTACTAATTTCCGAGTACATTCGATTCGACGGTATGCCTCTCCTGTCTTTTGTATGATCTACGCCTGTGTCTGTGTCTGTGTGCGGGGTGCTTATTATTTATTCTTGCCCATTCATCATTCAATTTCATCTCTACGGTTTCGAGATTCATCGTGCAATGCATGACTGCCATGCCAACCCACTCTCCCAATCTCAATTTCTTCTTTACTACTACTCTGATTATCAATATCAACCATATGGCAGGGCAGCCTTATTTAATTACTTAACAGCCGAAAAAAAAAAAAACTTCTTCCATTTTTTCATTGGTTTAGCCCTGTCCTTGTATAAACCATGCTCGTATGCTTTGTGGACTGGATGGTGGATGCAATACGATATCCATGTTCTTTATTGCATCAAGATCAAGCTTGGTCGGGCCAATTTATCATCTGTTCAACTCCTCTACGCGTCATGACCTTCATACTTTTACGTATAGCTTCTCTTCTCCCTAGGATGTTACTTGCTAATTCGGTGATTAACCGGAGCCAGGTTGATGGTTTCGGAACATGTCCATATATGATATATCACTCAGCTTCACAATCTTTCATCTTCCAAACAGGGAGCATTTTCTCGATTTGACAACTTTTGGTTACATTTACCAGTTATAAAAGCAGCCAGCCAGATGGGGCTTTTGGATCTTTTCAGCGCTGCATCCATTCCAGTCCTCAAAGTCCTTTTGGTGACCGCACTTGGTTCGTATCTTGCGCTGGATCGAGTCAACATATTAGGGGAGGACGCAAGGAAGCACTTGAATGGTGTAAGCCGCCTACATTCCCCCACATACATCTCGCTCCTTTACCTTGGTTGCTGCAAGAATCGTGTCTCCTCTCCACTCATTCCGATCATGCTCTAACTCATGCCCTTTACTGCTACTTATTATGTGAAGCCAGAAGACAAACATTGTTATTGTTTGTTTTGACGCTCTTTATATGCTATCCCTGAGCGTTAAACATTGCTTCGGCTAACAGTTGGCTTTTCATGCTGCGAGATGTCAAACGCATTAACACCCTTACTGTATATTTCGTCGATTTTCTCTCACTCACATGCGTGCACATGGACATGTATGCTAAGGTTGGTGATGGACGTTATTTAAGATACATCCTTTTGAGCTGTATAACTGGTGAAATTGTTGGACACCTACTGGTAAGCTCTTGTTGGATTCTGATGTTCCAACATCGATTCAATGGAAAGTTTACTGTTATTTAGTTCCCTTAGCTGCTAGTATCCGGAGCATGCAAGATAGTGGTGTTGTATAACTGAGAGTTAATTAAAGGGTCAAGAAGGGAAGGAATTTGGTGTCACATTGCTTTTGCAGGCTTTGGAGTACACTCAGGCTTCGTATATTCTTTTTTTTTCCCTCCCATATCAAAGAATTGATTGAACTGCATTTTTGCGTACAATTATGCTCGTTGTTTTTTATACAGTTATAAGAAAGGTGTAAATTCTTAACTTGACAAGACCCCGCACTTAGAAAAAAGTAGTCACTGACACTATTCCTTAAGGAGATTGATAGTTTGTGTTTCTACCACACCGCCACAACCAAACTTAATACAAGTACGGATCCGATATACAAAAACCATAAGAAGAGAACTATAAAAAATATACCAAGAACAACTTCAAAATATTCTGTTCCTTGTTTTGGAGTCCTTTCTTTTGAATAATGATAATTTATACGCTCACATACATATATCCTTTCTTGTATCAGTAATAATTATTATTATTATTATGATGAATTATATTTTTGGTCTCCAAATTCCTAGATGTGTAGTGTCCTGTACATGCGAACAAGTCCCGATTTTCTGGACTTGGAACTTTGCTCCATATCTAGTCTTAGAGCCTCCTATAAGGTATAACATTTCATTTTTCCGTTGTTTGCAGCTTCTTTGGTTTGGTGACGATTGTACAGAGTTGAAATCAGTTTACATTTGAAGGTTTTGTTTTGAGGGCGTAAATTATGTGACACCAAATTTACTGGGTTGCTGTTCTCTTTGTGCAGATTGTATTTTATGTCTTCAATCCAGCGATCGTGTCAAGCAACTTAGCAAAGACAATAACATATGATAGCATGGTCAAGTTGTGAGTTCTTACCATGATGCTGACTTCATTCAACATCATTTTTTTTCCCTGTAAAGTTCTTTTTCTTCTCTTCATTTATTCAGAGTTTTAAGTGTGACCCCAGTTAAATGTGCAGGTGGTTCATGCCTTTCAATGTCCTTATTACATTCCTTGTTGGTTCAGTTCTTGGGTGGCTGGTCATTCAAATGACAAGAGCTCCTCGACATCTGCATGGGCTTGTTATTGGATGTTGTGCTGCAGGTAAATTTTGCTGTACATGTATTTTCTTGTTCTGTAGAAATGGGTGTTTTGGAAACATTTGTATGGCTAAAATTTTTCCATAATATATGAGGAAAGAGTACATTCAAGTCCTGCATCATTTTTCTGATCCCTTCATTTGCTGGGGAAAACGTTTCTGTTATTGCTTATTAAGTTTTTCCCTCCTCATTTCATGGCTAATATTGCCGTGAGAATGTTTTCCTTTCTCATGTGTGTGAACAGGAAATTTAGGAAACATGCTTCTCATTATAATTCCAGCAGTTTGTAAAGAGAAAGGAAGCCCTTTTGGAGCTCCTGATGTTTGTCATTCATATGGAATGGCATATGCTTCTCTTTCAATGGCGGTATGTCTCTATCAGTTATTCCAGTTTAAGGGAAGCAGATGGGAACATGACTGGTAGCCATTATCATAGCATATTGTGACCTATTAAAGGAGTGAATATGATAAAGTGGTGTGGTCAGTCTACATCATTCCTAGTAGGGTTGTCTAAAAACAAGAATGTGTTTTGCAAACCAAACACTATGCCTTAGAGCTAATTTCAGTTGGAAAACTAACTGGTAAAAAACATTGTATTGACTACATTTGAACCTTTCTAAGAGTACATGGGATTTAAAATTAAATTGTCAAGCATAGATTCATATACTTAAGAGGGATATTATTGCATAAGTTGACTGCTTTTATTACACCTGAATAATGTCTCGTGGTGAAAGGATTTCTTTGAACTGACGACGAAGTAACCAGAAAGGGTGGAGGATCTGAATTGCTGAAAAAGTGCTCAAGTTGTACATTGCGCCTTCTTTTTTTTCCTGCTTTAGGGAAGTCTGGTGAATGTATCCATTGATTTGTCATCATGATTCAGGTAGGAGCCATCTTCCTGTGGTCTTACGTCTATAATATCATGCGGATATCCTCGAGCAAGAGCTCAAAGGAGGTAGAAATAAGTGACTCCTCTGTCATTAAGTCACCAAGGGAAAGCTACGTATCACCTCCTGGGAGTTGCACAGACCCATTGCTTCATTCTGATAAATTAGAAGGATTTGAGGACTATCCAGATCAACTTGCTTTACCTTCCTCTAGACTTGAGGACATAGCTCAGGTTAATTTTGCACTTTATGCTTTTTCTGTTGAGTGTTTAACCTGCAAGAAGAAGAAAAAAATTATCTTATCAAACATCTCCCCTGACTCCCCGCCGCGAAACACAATGAAATTCAAAGGAAGGATATCCTTTAAGAAAGGATTTAGATGGATCAAGAAGATACTCGTGTACAAAAACAAGTGCCTTAACCACGCAGATTATATGCATTGAACTGTGTGTCAAAATCTTTCTGCCCCAGAAGATTAAACCAATCTCAATAGTTTCTTTGGGATTCGATGTCTTCTTCCTTAATAAAATTAAAATCTTTTATCACAGATTCCACTTTCTGCTCTCAGCATCTTTGGCCAAATAGCATTGTTTACAATGGAATGAAAGCAAAGACCTTCCTCAATCTTAACAGAAGCAGAGACAGCCTAAAGGAGAAAAGAGCTGTCAGAGCCATAAAACTGTGGACTTTTTCGCATGTTTAATGTAATTTGTGGTACTAGGAAGTTTGGAGTAAATGAATCAAGAATGGATACTTTGATGAATGAGTTCTTGACAGGAATGATGAAAGGCACATCCACAAATTGAGGCATCCTACCATCAGTTTTCTAAGAGACCTTCAATTGATTGCATTGTGAGACATGACATTAGTTTTCACGTACTCCTCTTGTGATGCTTCACCTTGATACACCAAATTGATTGTTCTTTGAGTGATGCTTCATCTTGATACACCAAATAAATTGTTCTACAAACCTGCCTGTGGTATCTTTAGCCAGGCCTTGGTAGGGTAAATGTATAAATGGGCCGCCTCAGCTTCTCCAAAAGCAAGAAAGTGCATCATTACCTTTATATATTGATTACTCAGATAAAACTCTGACAGCTGATATTTTCTGCAGGAATCACTTTGGGATAAGATCAAGCAACACGTGGAAATGGTTGTAAGAAAGGTCAACCTCAAGAGGTTATTTGCACCTTCAACTACTGGAGCAGTATGACTCACTCGTCCTTTTAAAATCGTTTCCTTTTCTTTAGGGAATAGGGTGGAGGTTGGCTTTGGAATGTTCAGTTGAATACATGCACAAGCATGATTCTTTTCATTTAGGATAGAAGTCTTTATAAGTTACATAGAGTATACAAATAATCTGGTTGAAAATGTGTAAAAGATCTTCCTGACCTAGGGGTAATACCTAACTGATAGCGTTGCATCAGTTATCAATATGCCCAAGAGGGTGGAAAAACATGCTGTCTCATAATCTTTAGTCAATGTGCAATGGTACGGAGCATTGTCTTTATAAAGGGTATTTTATCGTTCAAAGATCATATGGTGCATTGTCTTTGTAATGGATATTTTGTCTTTTGAGGGAACATTCACGAAGCAAGTCCTTGCACACCTCTGCTCAAGTATTGAGCTGCAATTTTGTGGAATGGACCCTATACCACTCTCTCTAATTAGATGAAGCCATGTGGGCAAAAGTCATATATGTTTGTTGGATGACAAACATAAAATCTTAGAAAATGAATCACTCGCCAATTGTATTCCTGTAAATACTAAGAGAACAGGTAACACCAGGCTAGTGAATCATGTAAGCCTACTTGTCATTTTTCACACAAATCAAGCTATGATCAGTTTATGGATCCCGAGGCACACAATTCAATACTGACTAAACTTTCAGATTGTTGGTTTTGTAGTTGGACTTGTACCTCAGTTTCGAAGGTTTATTATTGGTGACGCAGCGCCTCTTCGTGTGATCCATGACACTGCACTTTTGCTGGGGTACATTGCCTATCTCCTCAGATGGTTCTTGATTGTTCTTTTTTCAGTCACCATTTAATTATTCACAGTTTTTCCCCACCAATTAATAAGCATCTGCATTACCTCATCAAAATCAAGCATCATATGAGAACTTATTTGTGCTATCATTGAAGTTAATTAAAGAAAATTTTCTGGTAGACCACTGAAGCAACTGTCTTTCGTACTAATAAAGGGATTTCAGTGTGAGTCTGCTATTTTCTAAAGTTTTTAATAAACTGGCTTTAGGATTCCATTCATATAATGGTCCCACACGATTATTCTCCCAATAAGAAGTCAGAGAAGTGATGATTCAGACAGATGCACTTCTCGGCCTCAAGAACAAGAATGTCAACACTATCTGCATATTTACAACAAGAGACACAAAAATTCATTTGGCTTGAGAACAAGAATGTTAACAAAGCAGGAAAACTCTTGACCATGTTTTCGGAATTTTGAGTTAGGAGAACAATTTTTGTGTTTGGAGTGCAAATTATTTACACTAATTTATCTACTCGCATCACAAACACATTTTTCAATCACGTTTTTATCTCACATATATCATATCAAAAAAGTGCGTCAGTATTTTTTTCAAAAAATTATCCCAAATAATCCCCTTCCCAAACACATATAGGCAAACTTTTGACCATGTCTTCGGAGTTCTGAGTTTGGAAAACTTCAATTGCAAAAATTTTGGCTTTCTGATTTATCAGCTTGCTTTTTATTCAAACTTCTTCTTCCCTCCTCTAAGTTGTTCGAGGGAAATTTAGGCACGGTTTCAGTTGTTCAAGTCCATTTTTGTTCCATATAGCTGTCATTTTAAACTTCCTCCCTTTCCTTCTAAAACTACGTATTCCTCATAAACCTGTTATGACTGCAGGGATGGAGCCATCCCAGCTCTTACATTAATTATGGGAGGGAACCTCTTAAAAGGCACAAGTGTTTTGGACTAGACTCCTACTTTGACTTCTGATTGATTCAGCTCTTTTTCACATTTCCTCGCAACTATTACTAGAATTTCTGAGTGCATGTTGTTTTTCTTGCTCAGGTTTACAAATTGCAGCAGTTCCCAAGTCTCTTATTGCTGGAATTGTAATTGCACGATACATTGTCTTGCCTATGATAGGCGTTGCTGCTGTGAAAGTTGCACTTCAATTTGGATTGGTGGACAATAATCCACTGTATCAGTTTGTTCTTTTGCTTCAGTATGCGGTTCCACCTGCAATGAACATTGGTATGTTATCCTGAATTCTCACTCTAATCGTAATCTTGACTGGTTCCTGTCGGTTCTGGCCAAAGAACCGTGGTGAATGTAGCATGGTAGTAGAGAATTATTCCATACTATGTTTTCTTTCGCTCGTCTTACAGTTTCAGCTGCATAGTATCGCCAGTCCTTGCAAAAAAAATAAATTAGGAGATCAAAGAAGTTCAAATATGACCTTAAATATCCAAGAAAGAAATCGAATGTAGCAAAGACACCGAATTTAAGTTTTACATTTCTTATGACGGGTTGCGTTGGGCGTGTAAGTTGTAGACTGTGAATAGGATACATAACGAAACTTGAGGGCGTTCTTGAGAGCTGCCGGATGCTTTCAAGTGGCACCATTGATCCATGTATTAACAGGATTTTCTTTGGCAGGTACAATAACTCAGCTGTTTGGTGCTGGTGAAAGTGAATGCTCTGTTATTATGCTATGGACTTATGCTTTGGCTTCAGTAGCGCTTACGTTCTGGTCAACTTTCTTCTTGTGGCTGGTGGCTTGATTTCATGTGACTTCTCTCGTGTCTTCGCCGAGGAAGGGAGGAGGATGTTTCAGGCTATTTAGTGACTGCAAAGTTCGATGGAATGACATATGAATCACGTGTACCGCACTGCCTAGCATGCATAGACACACACTCGATTGATCTTTCAAGGACCAAAATAGTGGTGTAGCTAAAACCATTTCGTTTCATTTGGCCTCGATTCCTGCTACAAAATGAGGCTCGGGAAAAGAGTTGGGAGGGGCGTAGTTTCGGCAAGAGCTCCCCTGCTGCTTCAAGAATTGTAGTGTAGCATTTGGGATGAGAACAGCGAAAAAGGTTTTTTTTTTTTTTTTTTTTTTTTTTATAGTAGTGTATCCTTCCTGTTTCTTAGAGCAAGAGTTTCTATGGTCCCGACGCTCGTGAATAAGCAAAAAATAAGTAATCATACTTGGGATGCTTGTAATTTGTTAATTGCGTTAAATTATGTAAATCTATGACTTATCATAGACTACTAGCATTCAAATCTTTAGCAATGACCAAGCAAAATCTTACATCCGTGAAAAGAAAGTACCCCGCAGTTGCATGATATCTATGGTGAAGATAAGATAAAGCAGAAACTTTTGTTTCATAGACCAAAATAAAACAGGAATACTTCACACCCAATACTTATAAGACTAATAAAAATGCGAAGGGAATACAAAATCTGCAGTAAAATTCATAGGAGAACTCTCTTGACTGAGAAATGAGCTGAAACTGCAGCTACAGCCATCACGTTTGCATTTTGCATTTTGGGCTCTCAGATTTAGTCAGTCACCTACTGCGGTGGATGAATCCAGTAACTTCAACTCATTGCAACAAATATATTGCCCTAAAGAGAGGAAACGGGAAGAGCAAAAGGGCCCGTCCCAGCCCCGGTTTTGCAAATCTTTCTAAATCACCATACAAGCCCATGGCCAGTGACGGAGCCAGGATTTTTTTTTTTTTTGGGCCAAAATTTTTTCCTAATAAAATTATCTTAATATATTATGTTCAAAATAATTTTCTTCTATTTAAATATGTGACATCTAAAAATATCAAATATTAAATCTAATTATAAAGGTATGTCTATTCATAAATATGCGGTACAATCATAACAAAAATTAACAAAAAAGATAACATTTGATTAAATATCTTATAACATTACAAACCATCCAATTTGCACATTATGAGAAGATGCTCTCCAATATGTCACCTATGCAATATATATATATATATATATATATATATATATATATATATATATATATATATATATATAACCATGTAATATAAATGTAACTATTTTCAATTGAAAAAAGATAAAAGTTATGTTAACATACTTTGAAATTTCAACATCTTTTCTTTGAAGTAAATTGAGTTCTACGCTCTTTCATAGAACTAAATTCATCTATGATTGAATCACTGCTAAAATTTTTAGCAACTTCCTTTTCTATATACACAGTTAGACAAATCATTCAAGAAATTATCTTCCATCTTGTTTTGGAACTTTGTCTTGATTATTTTCATAATTGAAAATGCCCGCTCTGTAGTTGCAGTTGATACAGGAAGAGTAAGAACAAGTCTAATCAATCTATCAATAAGAGAATATATCACTGATTTTCTTGTCTTCACCAAGCCTTGACATAACTCATTAATACCAGATAATTCTTGCAATTCAAGATGATTTGGAATGTTGAGCTCAAAATGTTGAAGTTTTATTCTTAGACGTACTAGTTCTTGCTCCATAAAATCATTCGGATAGAACTTCTCTGCATACAAATATCATCAATCTTGAACAGCATAAATCCATTTCTAAGATCTAAAGTAGTGCTCAAAACAAGCAATTTCATGGTATGATCATTAAACCTGCTATGTAACTCTTGCAATTAATAATCAATTGTTGCAAGAAATATATCCACTCGATAACAATGCTCCACACTAATCTCATCATGATGATTTCGAGATCTACCATGTCTTGCAATATATTGAGCATTCATACATGGGATATCAATTGGATGTTGCTCACAAAATAATTTAACTTTCACCAAGAAATCATCCCATCCCGAATCTCTAAAATTCTTCAGTAGCATTGTTGTGCTTGAGACAAGATACATTGCATTCAAAATATCTTGAGATTTACATTGCAATGCTATACAAAGAAGATGAGTAATTTCTATAATGTCTTTCATAAGATGCAAAGTGAAAACAAACTTAAAGGATAACAACTGATTCAAAGCAAAATTTGCATCTCCACATTGAGAGTATGAACCTCCATCTACTGCAATGTTACTTAAAATCACACAAGTAGCATTGAACATTTTCAGTAAACTAGAAATAGAATCCAAATGAGAACCCCAACGAGTATCTCCAACTCGTTTTAAAGTGCCAATTTGATTAAGCCCCCTTTCAGTTTCAAGTTCACCATTAGCAATCTTAGTAGCAACTTCAATTGCTTGAGCCTCCTTTAATTCATCATTACGTTTGCTAGATGCAGTAATAATGTTGATAATGAAAACTAAATTGGAGAAGAATTGGTGAACAGAAGCTACTTCTCTAAAAGCTGCAACATTAGCAAGTTGAAGCCTATGAGCCAAACAATGAATGTAATAGGCATATGGACATTCATGGCAAATTAAAGCTTGCAAGCCATTCCATTCAAAGATGACTAATTCATATATATATATATATATATATATATATCAACTCTCATAATATAAACTAAAATTGTAAAAATTTAGAGAGGGCCAATTTTATTTTACACACATATTTACATGTTATGAATTAAAATTCTCAAAACTTAGGGGGGCCATGGCCCCCCTCTGCCCCCCTTGGCTCCATCATTGCCCACGGCATAACGTTCTAACTTCTAACTTCACTACCTCGCCTTTCGTACTTCACCAGCAATTTCCGCTTTTGCTCCTCCAGATCTGTCAATAACGCTCCATACGCTTCACCTCAAAACTTAAATTGTACTTCAAACAACTCCCCTGATGTTTTATCATCATTCATCTTGCTTTTGTTTCTCATCTCCTTTTTTTTTTTTAATTTTTTGACGTATTCAAGATGGGGAAAGAAACAAACTCAGGGTGCATTTGATTCTACAGCACTGGAATTCTTTCGTTTGGAAAATGCATAGAATTAATACAGAATTCATTTGGAATTCCAAATTCTTTGTTTTGGATGAGAGAGGAATTGTTTCCATCTAACATTTGCTTACATAAAAGGGGAAACAAGGACACTGGTTGCATTGCTCCATTCCTCTCGTTACCAATTCCCCCGCCACATATGCAGTTAACCAAGGTCAAAAGCAGCCGATTTAACTAGTCATTGATCTCTTCCAATTCATCCTATAATAAGAGCCATCATGTAAAACAGGCAGCCGTCATTAAAAAAAAAAAAAACAAATCTTCATTATTGCAGAAACCAAGTCTCGTTTCGCCACATGTTCAGCCAACCACATACTCCAGTCAACTACAGTGTGTTATTCTGTTCCTCAGAGTTGCAAGAATGAAAACCGCAACAAGAAAAAACCAAAACCATCATATTTATCTTCATAATTCGGTTTTCGAGCACCTAATTAAACTATTGACCTCATGCATAAAGTCAAAAAAAAAAAAAGAAACATCAGGAATCCTGCATTAATGGTTTCACCACAAAATTTCCATTCATCATCAACATGTTAACGTTCAAAAGGGCGTGTTTCCACTGTTTGATGGTGTTGACATCACGGATAGAATGTCCGTCACAGAAGACATGGCACTCAGAGCAGCTTTCAGAACATCTTGTGAGCACCCAGGTTTCACAATAGTGCGCACCTGGAAAAGGAATGACAAGGAGAATAAGATGTGTGGGGAACTAGAGGAATTATAAAATGTAAAAATCCAGCAAAGGATCAAATGCCGTGAACTGTCAAATTTGGATGAAGAGGAAAGTGAACCACCTTATCAAGATATTCTTGCAACCGTTTGATGCGGCCCATATAGTCCTGGTCTTCAACACATAAGGTTACAGACTTTGCATCTGCACCAGGACCATCAAATTGAAGGGGTCCTGGATTTCTGTAGACATCATCCATCAAAAACTTTGTCGCATTTTGTCTCAACAACCTGCACCAAAAGATATGGGTTGATTACTCAGTAAACAAGTCCTCAATTCCACTCCCAACTCCCCCCCCCCCCAAAAAAAAACGTACTCGTATGCTTTGCCTTTCAGATCAACAGTAGCAGGATGCAGAGCAGGTTTTCCAAGGGACTGTGTTCCAGGACCACGACCATAGCGCTTAACGGTCATCATAGCCTGGATTCACCAAAAGGAATTTGACAATTCAAAACTTGAAGGACAGTAGAAAAACAGGAACAAACAACAAAAATTACAGATACACCATATCCACAGTGGACATTCTTGACTTTTGGATGAATACAAAGATTTAATGCTACCAGAAACTCACAGTAATTGGAGCGGCGCCACATTTCCACTTGTTTACAGGATTTTTAAGATTAGTTACAGTTGCCATGTAACCATTCAACCCAGCAGCCAGAATATGGTAGCAGATATGACCAAGAACCTGCAAAAGGGTAATGATTTTTTAACACAATACTTTTTTTTTCACCAAGGGCAAGACTCAAATACTGAACTTTTTCTTTTTCTCAAGCGGACAGTAAAAAGATGGGGTTTATGAGGATTAAAGACTTGTCCAAGACAAGGACCCATAACCCCAAGCTACACCCAACGCTTAAGGACTAAAACTTACATAGGCATAATCGCAATCAAACTTTGATGGCAGTGACCCTCGAGCTTGATAACCAAAGAAGTGGCAAATGGCATTAAATTTTTTTCCTTTATAAGTTCCTTCTTTCTGCAAAGATCATGAAATAAGTTAGTGGCCTGGGTTTACTTACTAAAAACCAGAAAGTTCACAAGCAAACAAACATTTGTTTATTTCAGAAGCATATGCAATTCTAACTACGGTCCTGCAACATGTTAATGCATGTTAGTGTGCTTTCTCCTAAAGCTTTATTAATATTTATTCAACTACCACTCGAACATTATGTGCATAACTTTAAACAAGTAATAGCCTAAAATACAAAAATTAAAAAAATAAAAAAAGAACAGATAATTCTGAGACAAAAAGAAAAAGAAAATTACACTATCTGACATGCAGTACTGCAAACCTAAATAATATGTGGCATCTGTCTTAAGCTGCTTTTTACAAGTTTCTAGTCATTTAAGTACTTTTACATAACTTTTTCTTCTTACCACTTAAATAACCATGAACTCGGAAGCAGTGACCAAAACAAGTCAACTGTATAAGACAAACTAATTCCAAAACAGAATATGGTTTCTAAAGAAACTGGTTCTAAAAGAGAAAGTACAACTACTATATCCAGAGATTACTATCACCAGATTTTGAATATTCAAAAAGTGTCTTGAACTGAAAAAAGAAAAGAGGAGGAGAAAGGTTAATGGTTGTCTTTCTCAAGATTAAAGTTTACCAATCGCCTATTGATTTCAGCTTCCACGAGATGCGCAAGAAGTTTCTCTGTCTCAATCTGCAAGTGAAAGAGAATGCAAACTATCATTACCAAAAAATAAAAAAAGTACATATACATCAAGCAGTACCATTAATTGGCAGATTCAATTACCTGGGATAGCTGTGCGGAATCATCAGATTCTGGAAAGAGTAGGAGCTGCAGGATCATAATTTTAAGGAACTGAGCACCATTATGCAAGAAATTTAAAATAGTAAATTATATTAGAGAGATAGGGCAAAAAGGATACCTGTTTCCTTATGAAAGGTGGTAAGAACTCAAATAATGCAGATGCCCAGGGGGTCAGTTGAGAGGAAATGCTATCAGCAGAAACACCTTGTCTAAGCAACCCATGGATTTCCTAGGAGATAAAAGATAATTGTACAGAAGCATTTAGTCAACAGATGAATTATAGCTACAAGACAATCACAAGCATCCAAATAAATCTTCTTGACCACTTTGCTTTTGACAGGGATAAAGAGTGATATATTCCATATTAACGGGGAGAAGGTTATGTAGGATGAAATTTTAGACCAAGAGCCTGAATCTATACCTGTTTTTGACAGGGATAAAGAGTGATATATTCCATATTAACGGGGAGAAGGTTATGTAGGATGAAATTTTAGACCAAGAGCCTGAATCTATACCTGTAATAAAGCATACACTTCAGGAATACTTTCTATAAGCCCCTCTGGCAGCAGAATGACACCATGATATTTATCTGAAACAAAAACACATTATTTGACAATGTCAAGACATCAGCAGTAATGCCGATTATTGCAAACCAAGATTCCAAACCTTGTTCAGCCCTAGCTTGAACAGCATCACAAATTTGTTTTGTGATGTCAAAAAGTGTAAGTTTCGATGCAGCCACTTCCTCACCGAGAATCACCTATTAAGAGCAATCTAAGGCTACTGATCACAATGCAAATAATTGTGTTGAAAAAACAGCGTTCAACATTTAATACAAGTAGAGTAATGGAACATGGTGCATAAAAACTAACCATATTTGGGTGTGACTGAAGAGTGCATTCCAAAGCAACTTGTGATGCCTTTCGGCCCATGAGTCGGATGAAATAATAATACTGTAAAAAAATGCAGAAGGAAAATGTTAAAGTCCTTTATTCACAAATGCATGCTTCCAAAATAAAAACAAAAAGGTTTGTGATGCTGAAGTGGACTCCCGATAAATAAGAGAATTTTTTGACAATGCAAAAATTTCTCGTATTGAATTCAAAGTGCCATGCTATTATTACTTAATATTCATATTTGATAGGACAAAGGCATAGTCTTATTTATTTCTCTCCAATAAAAACCTCATTGGCGCCAAGCCTGAGGGAATGGCAACAAATATAGAAGCTTTTTATTTAAAAAATATGAACAGCTGACACACTAATATGTGCACCAAAATTCTGAATAGCGCTAAAAGTATAGTCATTACTAAAAGCCTGTTTGCGGTTGTGGTGCTTTTGCTAAAAACATGTTTGGTGAGTATCATCCATTGAATTTAGGAGTACAGCTTTTGGCCAATAAAGCGATTTTGGCATAGGATCAAAGTTGGTGATTTTAGAGCAACTTTTGTATTCCAAAATAAATAAATAACTTTAACAATTTTATTATAAATTTGAACTAAATGAAGAGATAAATGTCTTAGAAATTTAAAAATGCACATAATCAAATAGAAAACGTAATCATGCAAATATACACCCAAACGGTATGATTAAGCACTTAATAAGTACTTTGATCAAAAGCTCTACTAATTAAGTGCTTTTTAACAAGCCACCGCAACATCAAACAGGCCCTAAAACAGTTAATCCAACTGCTCAAGGTGAAACCAGAATGAATGCCCAAAAAAGGAGGACAGAGATAATTACCTTCTCAGCAGAGAGTGCATCAGTACAAACATTGCTAATAAGCTGGGAATTAACCTGAAAGGAGTCCCATAAATATGTAGTCAGTTTCTGGCCCATTATTGCCACAAATGTATCTTCACAACTTCTGTACTTAATGCTCTCTTCATCTCTAATAAAAGAATGATAAATGACCAGAAGAACAGTAATCAAGTGTAGTCAATTGAGAATGAGTTCAGAAAAAACACATGAACCAAAGATGTATCTTCAACTGAATCAACTACAAGTGTACAGTGATTATTAACACTCTCAATTGCGCAAATACCTGTTTTCAATCCAAAGCCCCAACGTCCTCTACTATCTTACAAAATAAGTTATACAAACAAAATATCTACTTTTTTTTTTCAACGGTCTTATTTTGTATCTACCATTCAAGATTATAAAAATTAAGCAGCTTTTATACCCCAAAACAAACAATTCTATATCCAGACAATCTTTGACATTTACAATCATCAATTTTCGATTCATGTGGTCTTAAGGAAATGACACCTAGTGTAGTACAATTTATGCCAGGTGATAATCCATGATTGAAATCTTGTTCTGGGAAATATAATGATCCACATTCTAGGGAACAAAGTTACAAACATCGACAAAATTTCTTGCAAGACGAGATAGACCAGGAGAAAAAATATTATACCATAAGCTTATCTACAATGTCGCACTTCCTGAACTCAAAACCAATTTCACAGAAGATTGGGAGGGAAGATGGGGGATTGGGTACCAGAAATAATAAGAGCTGTCAATAAATTCTGAGAGCATCTAACTTCATCCTTCTAAAGAGTACACATACCTTGCATATAGTGTCAAAACCAACATTAGTTTCTACAAATTGGTTCTTGAGATCTCCATTTAGCGTGACTGGGACACCCACAACCTGCAGAAATTTCAGGACAATATATATTATCTAATTATGTTCAGAAAAAACGCCTGCCAGAAGCAATATACATTAAGTTCAGCATTCTGAAGCGATCATTTTACACCCATAACGATCAGAAAATGGTATCAACAATAGGTGGTATCAACAATAGGTTAGCTCTGCCAATCACAAATGAATTGGTAATCCAGAAGAAATATTTAGAAAAGGAAATGCTGCTAGGGCACTACACCTTTGTTTGGCATTTTGCTTCTGCAAAAGTTTCTGCAAGCTGAGCAGCATCTGTGTTTGAAGTTACCCCTTGAAGAAACAGAAAATATATACCAGTTAGAGGATTTCAACATAATATCCTGGGCTTGTAAGCCTTTATTGAGAGAAAACCAAATACCTCCAATAACAACAAGGCCGTCCAACTTTAAAGCTTTGCATGCAGCCATTGCTGCATTCACCTGCTCAGTAGTCCTTATTTGATCTTTTGTCCGTCCAAGTAGATCATAACCGCCTTGAGAGAGTAGCATTCAATAAATGTCCAAAGATCTAAATCCAAGCAAATATAAGGTCGAGATAAAGTTTGAGTCTATGCATCACATCAAAGCCTGATGCTCTAATTTTTACCTTGATTTTTATATGTAGCAAGGATGTCATCGGTAATTTCAAGAGTCTTCTGTGCAAATAGACCTTCAGAACCACCTGGTAATGAAATATGACAGCAGTAACACTTACTGCTTAATGAGAGAAAAAAATATGCATTCGATCTTTAAAAACCTGACTAAAGCAAAAGCAGAAACTGTTTGAACCATCATATCATGTGAAGTTATCACAATAGAGAAGACAGAAAATGAATAATTTGTGAAAACTAAAATAAAAGGGCAAGAACGCTCTTATCATGTAGCCAAAAATATAAGGAAGATTCCATTAGGCAATCCATTCGAATCATAGCAACTCGAGCATGAAAAAATTGGTGAAACCCAATAATCACTTACCCAAAAATCCAAGCAAAGTGCTGTTAGGATTATGAACTTTGAGAGCATCGTGTAGTCCCCAAATGACATTATGTCCACCAGGAGACTGTCTACCGCAGAAAACTAATCCCACCCTGAGGAGTAAAACATCGAACCAGAAAGTGCATAAAAGCTGACCATCCAGATTCAAATTAACATAAAAAGCCTGCATAAACATATAACATCAACATGCACTCATCCATGCTTCTCCCATAAACGCATTACAGATCAAGACAGAAAATTTGCTAAATTTTGTATGAATGTCTGAATGTGCATAGATGCAAGCACAGGAGGGGGGTGAGTAGATGTAGTCATCTGATTAATTCAATTCATATTCAATCATATCCTCCCATCTAATAGCGAGTGAAAGCTGTAAATGAGGGGAGACAGAATGAAGGCATGAGCAGCGCACCACCATCTTCTTCATACAGTGATAACTTTTGAGTGAAAACAGTAAGTTGTGCAGAGAAGCTGAAAGAGGCGAGGCAATGGTGAATGATAAGAAATGCCTATTACCGAATAGGCGGGTGGTCAGTGATGATCTGAGCATCAGGGACCTTGGCAGTAGCCCTGAGAAAGTGAGCCAGAGGCTGACCATAGCTGTGAGGAAAGGAGCGACTGATAGTGTGAGCCCCGTGCGGGTCAGCAGTAGTAGTGCCATCGCCAAACTCCACTCGAACAGTAGTTCCCTGTAGAGAGCAGAAGAAAGTGGAGGAGTCCCCCTCCTAATAAGCGAGCACGTCCTCCTCCTTTTGATACGACCAAATAAATAAATAAAAATCTCCCAACTCCGGGGAAAGAGACAGGTAAAAGACGGAGTGGGTATGTAATAGCAACAACATAATGTACTAATCGTGAGTAAAGTTGAGCATTCATTTCTGGAGCCCACAGTTGTTGGTAAATACAGCGATAAACAACAAGAAACGGGAAAATTTTCTAGAAACTCTTCTGAAGAGAAATATTCACTAACGAAGAAGAAATGTAAAAAAAAAAAAATGCAAAAAAAAAAAAGGTTCGAACCAGAAATAGGGGTAACAATTATACTGAGTTACAACATACAGAGAATGAAGCAGCGGCGGTGATAACGAAGTAATGAGAGTCAGATCCGATTTTCCGGAGAAGAGAGCAAAAAAAGCATATAGGGAAGCCCAAACAACCAGAAATGTACTAATTCACAGACAGATAGATAGATATATTAACCCAAAAATAAAAAAAACAAGCGCTGAGACTCAAAAATTCAACCAAAACGAAGAAGAGAAAGAAAAGAAGTGGGACGGGAGGCATTATCAGTAGTAATATTATTATTGTTTGTTGCAAGGAAACTTACCGATCCAATGATAGAATTGTCATAATGGTTTCGGAAACAAGGCAGGATAATTAAGATGCGTAGAGTAGAAAGGAAGAGAAAAAAGAAGAAAGAAATGGAAAGAGGGGACGACCTCAAGGCAGGGAGGGAGCTGTGGCTGGTACTGAGCGCGAAGCTTTTGCAGATCAGAAAGTTCTCTTGCTATTCCGAAGTCCGAATCCATTTTCATTCGATTCGATCTTCTTTTCTTTTCTTCTTTTCTTTTTTTTCCTTTGGCTTTGTTGAATTGTTGGATTTGGACGCCCACCTCCTCTTCTTAAACTCTCGCACGACACAAACAGACTCCAAAATCTCTCTCTCTCTCTTAAACAGGAGGACGCTGCAGCTGCTTTACTCCGCCGCACCCCAAAAGTCCTTTCCCTCTCTCTCGCTAACCTTGTGCTTGCTGTGGTTTTACGCCGCTGATTTGTAGTACTACGACTCTATTTTGTGTTTTAGTTCTGTAATTAATTTACCATATAAACACTCCATTTTGGTTTTATAACTCTACTATTTTACACATGTTAGTATATATCTCTAACCTTTTTAAAATTTTTCTTTTTCAAGTACATACATTACTAGGGATCACTGAAAATTTTAAATAAATTTATTTTTAAAAATAAGTAATAAATTATTAACTTATCACTTAATATGATATACATTTAAATGTATTAGATTTAATACTTAATAATTCGATCAATTCATAGATTCAGGCTTCAAACTTTTTATTTTTTGAATTTTAATTTTATCAAATGCACCGTTCGTTCGTGATGCCAAGATTATTATTAGTTAGAATGTTCTAATCCAACAACCTCCTCTACTTAAACAAACCATGACGGCACTGCAAACCCGCAAGACATAGCTGCATTGCCCTCCCCTCCCCGCAAAACACCCCAAAAAAATTTAAAAAATAAAATAAAAAAGAAGAAGACATAAATAATGCATTTACCGGGAAGGACACGAAAAACCAAAACTCATAGATTTTTTTTTGATATTTTCTTACTGAAGTAAGAACTTACGTAAATAAACCTAATCCCCACAGTAACTCTAAAAGCCGACACAGATTAAATAAACCAAAACTCATAGATGCCCACACAGAATCACACATGTCGACATAGATCATAGCTGGAAGGTTGGGCTCGGGGGTTGTTGGTTTCCTTGCTCGTAAAACTACAATACTATGAAGTACTACACTGTTATCTCTTGCATTTTGTAGAGCATATGCTGCTGTGCACGGATAATTCCATAAATTCAAGGGATAATTTCATAAACCTTCCTGAGGTTTCTGACAATTTTACTAACTTTTCCTGAGCTTTTTAGAATTGCCTGACAAAACTTGGCCCAATTGCTTGCATCACATGGTGCGAAAATACTACTGATAAATGAGACTAAAATCATGCGGTCCTTACATCACATTATATGTCATTAGAAGACTAAAATCTGATAATGAGTCATTAGGATATATGAATTGACACGATGTTATGTGAAACTATGATTAAACAATGATTTTGGAATCTTCGCTCTCTGCCTTAAACTACTTCAAGGCAAATGGTATTTCGGATAATCTTGGATTGCATTTCTACTTATCTAGTGTAGGGCTACTAATATGGTTATGAAATATGAATTAATAATAATGTTATTCCTCTTGGATTGTAGTTCTGGTTTGCTCCTTGTTAACTTACAAGGTTTCATATTTCAATTCTTAACTTACATCATTTAATGGATCTATAATGCCGCAACTTGAGCATATGACAAATAATTTAGTTTCTATATTGCTCGTGGACCTATTCAAATATCTCTTTTTCCACCTTAGTTTCTACAACAAATCACTCTTTTTCGCCTTAAATGTTGATGTTTAAAGCGAAAATGTCTTCCTTCTTCATGGTGGTTCATGTCTTCGTATACTATCGCAAAGATATTCAAATATAGCCATTACAAAAGAAAGCAGAAGCCGTTGCTACGGCTTTGAGCGTAAATGGTTGGATGCTACTTCTAACGATTTTTCCTTATTTCACTAATATCACCTCATTTTTTCTAATTTATTTTTGACTTTTATTAGTTTCTGTTATTTCACTAATATAACTTGTACACCTACAAAAGGGGCATTTATGAGAACAAATTCCCTTCTCTCTCTTAAAAACACTTTTTTATGTGCACTTTTCCTAACATGGGCTGATTTTGTTATCAAATCCTAAACTTCAAGGGAAGCTAGTGTAATTCTGAAAACCTTGGGAGGTCAATGAAATTGTCAGAGACATTAGGTAAGGTTTCCAAAATTATCCCTAAATTCAATGGAGCCCACAGCATCACCAAACATCTCACCCTCCAAAAGTCCAAACAAATCAACCAACTACTCCACTATTTTTCCCTTTGAACCCCCCCCCCCCCAAACGAAATATAAAATCTCTACCTGCTTTCCATGTTACCGGGTTGTTTGACCACCTCCGTCGGCCCGAGGAGCCCGCCATACCTCCCACCAATTTCTTTCTAGGGTAAAATACACTTATTGTCAAAATCTTCTCATTGTTTAAAAACACACATTGAACCTCCTTACACTATGGACTAATCTTGAATTTGGATGAAAAACATCCAAATTAACGGAGAGTGAGTCACACTCGCCTAATACGTGAGTAAAATTGATCACGTTGATTTTTCTGCATAAAAACTGATTTCTTCTTCCAATTATACCCTCATTCTTTTCTTTCTTTTTTTTTCACTTTCTTTTGCTTTCCTTCTCCCAAAATCAGAAGGTTGCTTTTTATTCTTTTTCCTTTTCTTTCGTTTCATCTCCTTCCTCCTCCCGCAATCAAAACAGAGACAGCAGATGCACAAAAACACCAACCCCCTCACAACCACGACCACTGCGACCACTATTTCTCCTTCTTATATTTATCTTCTGTTGCAGCACCAGGGAATTCTTAAGAAAGTTCATGTCAAACTTTGGCTTCTTCTCCAATAGAAATCTCCTTACAGCAACACCTTTAATCTCTTAAGTAATTACCCTTAACCCATTCTTTGGTAACCAGATTTTATGCCATCACCATTGCCATCGTGGTCACCAATTGATACGTAAGGCGGGCAGAAATTCAGATGGATTTGAGATATGAATCAAGGCAGCCTCACAATTTTTCTTTTAATCCATGCAAATATCTGACTTTTTGTGTGTAATTGGTGTCATATAACCATTTTACTGGTCCAAAGGATTGTTTTTATATAGTAATTTGTTGGTTTTGCTTTGTTTTTGGACTAAAATTTATAGTTTTGCCTATCACTGTTCATGCCTATGTTTGTTACCCTTTGCTTGTTTTTGGTCAAATCTGATTCATAATCATGATCTACGCTGAAATTGGATTTGAGGGTGTAATTTTTGTTAAATTCTATCACTGGTGGTAGCTACTAGCGGCGCTGCTTCTACTATCGCTGCCGCAAGATCTGTAAATGATAATAATAGGCAGGGAAGAAGAGAAACTTTGAAAATTTTCACCTTGACTCATAAAGTCTATTTGTAAACCCACAAAGACGATGATGGATGTGGCAGCAGCGGTAGCAAAATAATGAAAGCTGCTTTATCGCCGGAGAAAATGAAGAATGTTTTAAAATTTTAGTTTGGCCCCTTAATTTTTTCCTTAGACAATTCAAGATTCATGAATTTAGATGAAATTTGAGACCCAATGGTGCTGAAGATGATAATAAAGGTAACGACCACTAGAATCATAGTGACGGCGACGATGGCGGTGATGACAAGGTAACAATTGCTGGACTGAAAAAAGGAAGAAAAGAAGAAGAAAATGGAAGGAAAAGAAAAACAGAAAAAGGAAAAAAAAAGAACAAAAAGAAAGGCAATGGGTTCTGAAATCTGATCATCATCTGAAATCTGATCATCATCTGGTTGAAGAAGACAACAAATTTTTAGAATTTGTTGAATTAATCCCTGAATTTTACTTTTTTCTTAAATAAAGCAAGAAAATTTTTAAAATCTTACGTAAAATCCGAACTAACTTTTGATATAGTTTGAAAACAAGGTTAATATAAAAATTTTATATTATTTCATCAAATTGGATGATTTCCGTCCGTTGGCCAAATTAATCCAAACCATGAGGGGGCTCTTTGAGAGTTTTTAAACAATGAAGAGATTTTATGACAATAACCCAAACCACAAAAGAGTTTAGTGTATTTTACCCTTCTTTCTATCGTTTCCCCTTGCACTCCTTGAAAACTAAGGGCTTAATTAGATTTACCGCACTTCAAGGTCCGTCCAAAGTTGTGAAGCCCCAAAACCCCCCGCGGGGGTCCAAACCACATTCGCATTCAAACCACAATCAACAAAATTACCGAGTGCTCCAATCCGCCCGCGTGCTTCCATCCACATTCGCATCCAAACCACAATCAACAAAATTACCGAGTGCTCCAATCCGCCCGCGTGCTTCCAACCAACGTACCAACCAATCCATCCCCAATTGAACCAAACTTCCCAGTTTCCAGTTTTACCTGTATGCATCCCCGGTGGTCCAATCATTTCAACCACCCCCGGCGCAGCGGAAAAAAAAACCACACCTGCCGTCTCATCACTTATCACTACTATTATCAAAAGAGGGCATCAAAGGTTGAATAGCCAAAACCATGAAACCAACCCCACATTCAACATCAAGTCCAGGGCTGGAACTCTCTTATCTAAAGAGCACATTCCAAATCCCTGCAAAGTGTATTCTATTAGTCCCCTGCTCATAAAAGCCCCGCCGATTAAGCATGAAGAAAACGTTAATATAACAATAGATACAGAAACGGAATTTGTAATTCAATTCTAACATCAAGAAAACCACCAAAAAAAGGGGGGGAAAAAAAAGAACCCCCTACTGCAACCTCTTCACAGACACTACTGAAAATTAAGACCACTTCTACTACATTATGTCCCATAAATAGCTGGCTAAATCTTAGCAAAAACAGCTCGTCTTCCCAATCATGCAACTACTTAACGGAGAACTTAACAGAAGGCCAAGAACTGACAGGGTGTCACGGACAAAATGCCGCGAAAAGAAGCTGCCAACCCCAGTTTGAAAGAGCACCTCATCTTTCTTCTTGAACCTCGGCATCTCTTGCTCATCATAAAAGATTGGAACTCTAGCGTTCCATGTATTTTAATTCCTGCCTCTCTTGGAGCCAGGCTTCCCGGAATTTTGCAGCCCACCTTTTTTGCTCCTAGATTTGACAACTGTCTGGGCAGAGTGAGGAGTGCCACGATGCCCAGGAACCAAAGCAGGGAACCCAACAGCAGGGATTCTGCAAAATTTAACACATTCTGTCAATTCATTTTATGCATAAATTCTAATTTTCTATTTCGCTTTGGCTTAAAAAAAAATTCCATCCATGATGTATCAAGGACAACAAAACTGTCACACGTGGATTTGGAGTTGAGAGCTACAGCAACTATTCCAAAGCGACCATGAGAATAGACCACCCCAACACCAACAAATCTCAATCTATTACAGTGCCTAAAGCTAAGCATTTTTAAGAAGTTTTACTTTCAAACCACATTATAAATTATCAGTAGGTCTCCACGAGGACTAAAAGAACGTGATAATTGAGGCTACGCCTACATCAATGAAAGGTGCAATTGAATTCAAAGAACTAAAACCGAGTGAATGGCAGGTGATACGAAATGCAGTATCAGAAACCCGGAATACATAAGTTACATATGTAATAAAAAGACTAAATAAGCGAGCTGTTTCAGTGTGGTCGCATTTCTGTTCTCAACTCAACAAAGTCTGGCAGATCACGGGAATTGTTGTTCCTTTTGGACTTTGAAAATTTAAAAACGTAGCAATACAACGAAGAATTTTGGAAAAAAGAGAGGGGGGGGGGTTGTTAAGAGATGACTGAAAAAGATGGTGTACTCACCCAAGATGAGCACAGCAGACTCCTGCTTGGTTGTGGAAGCATCAAAGGCCTGGGTGGTGGTGGTGGTGTTCAAGGAAAGGCGTAGAGCATGATTCTCAGCAAGATAGCACTGAAGCAACATCCCGAGCCTCCTGCACTCTGCTTCATAGTACCTGCTCTTGATCTCGAGATCCTTTATATACATCTTCTTCCTTTCTCGAGAACGGACAGCTGCATCCCTGTTCCTCAATTGCCTACAAAAGAAAGAACCAGATTCAGTAAAACACAAATACTACAACCGTAATAGTACAAGATAGACTGTTCAAAGGTTCAACTAAAAGCACCATAAAGCAGGGGCGTGTGCAAAGATGAGATTTAGGGCCATCACCTTCAACAGAGCAAACTGTACTCCAACTAACCCAAACAAATTCAAATATTTAACAAAATTCGAAGCCTGCTTAATTGTTGGGAGCAAAAACCACAATCCAAATTGCAGTCAAGGTAGATTTAATCATGTGAACGGCGGTGGGTGCAGGGGACCCCGCCCCCCGCCGGGCGGGGGGGGGGGGTGTTCCGTTAAATTGGTCGGGTATAATTCCAAGGATGTAGGCAGCAGAGAGGGAAGAGTGAGGGTACCTTTTGCGTTTCTTGGAAATAGGATCGGCATCGTCACCATTGTTATTAAGCTGGCCCGCCTCGCTCCCTTCCTTCTCCTCTTGGTGGGGGTGGGGAATAGCAGCAGGGGGGAGGAGCTCCTGATGACCTATGAGCTTGGGGGGTTGTTGGACATCCTTGGCGTCGGAGTCGGAGTTGGAGTTGTGGTTAGAATAGGGGAAGTCGCTTTCGGGAGATGGATTATCGGGGGAGGAGGGATCGGATGGAAGCGGCGAATCGAGGATTATGTCGGACAAAAAACCGAGGGAGGCGGTAAGGCGGTCCTCCTCCCCCTCCTCCTGGGGATACATGTCTATGATGTCGTCTTCATTCAAGAGAAACTGCTCGATCTGGCGGATGTTGGAAAAATCATGATCGTACTGGGCGGCGGCGGCGGGGGACGAAGGGTTTGGATGATGATGATGATGAGGAGGAGTAGCATCCAGCATGGTGTTGCTGTGATCCAAATCATCATCACCGACTAGCACTAGTATATCATCCTCCCCGCCACCACCAAAATCACTCATCATCTCTCAAAAATGATTCAATCATTAACTGATTACGAACAAATAAACAGAAACAATATAATAAAACTAATCACCGCTACTCCCCTGCTAAACAGAATCAAATCAAAATAAAAATAAAAAGGGGCCTCTTCCAGGGTCAGTTTTGTGCTAGTTGCGGAGGAAGGAGGAAGATAAGTATTCACCTCTCCCCAGAAGGTGAAGAAGCATCGCGTCCGTTTCGCCCAAATTTATTTGTTTAATACAGAAAAGTAGTAGCGTACTGGTGGTATAAAACCAGCTGGACTCGGCTATCTGTTCGTTCCTTCGTGCTTAAGCCTTAACTCTTAAGTAGTAGTATGTTTCAAACCATCGTTAGCAGTACACAATCCGTATGGTCCAAGTCCAATGGTAGTACATTAGCAGTGTATTATTCGTATTTATGTCCGTCTTTTGGTCAAACGGAGTAGTTTCTTAGCCTTTTCTTCTACCCTTTTTTTTTTTTTTTGGGGGAGGTTGTGGGGACGGAGGGGGAACTGACTGCATCATCCAACCAATGGGATGGAAGGATCTCATAGTGACTGAGTGATATACTCTTTTATGTAGTTTTGCTTAATAAAAATTAAGAAAAAAAAGGGAAAAAAATCAAACGAAGCCTATATATTTTGAATTACCCGTATATAATATATATATAATAAATATATGTAATATATATAATTATGCATATTCTAAATTTAAAAAGTTAATAGTTTATAGATTATCGTATAATAATATACAAATATTAAACATATGCATTAAATTATGAACTTAGGCCTAACCCAATAATCTCCGAATCTCTAATAAATTTGTAAGCTGAATGTAAGCCTTATAATAGTGAACCCAAGCTTGAAGCACGAAACGGGCTTGTTTGGAAGTGAAGTTTTTGGCCAAGTTTTTTAGCTACTAGTTTTTTAACAACTTTTACTACAGGAACTCCAAAAAACTTATCAAAAATTTTTACCTACACACTTTAAAATAATACACAAAAAACTTTTTTCCAAAATCTTAGCCGTTCCATTGCTCCTTTAACTCTGCTCTCTCTCACAAGTCATAAGCACCTCAATCCTGCAATTCTCTGCAAACCCCCAGGCGGGAAAAAAAATCAAATTGTGCATTAAATTTCCAAAATTCCAGATGATGCTTAATATGAAAGCCTCCCCGGAGGCCCGGACGACGTCATCTTCATCATCATCGCCGTCCCGCTCAATCGTTACAGCGGAGAAGGCTTTCTCGTTCATCTCCAAAGGATGGAGCGAGGTCCGCTACTTCGCAGGTGCTGACCTCCAAATGATTAAGAACCGGGCGAACAGGGGAACAGGGGAATAGGGAAGGGGGTGGCGGGGCAGAGGGGAGGGGGAAGGGGCAGAGGGGCTGGCGTGCAGAGGTGAGGGGGAAGGGGCAGAGGGGGTGGCGGGGGAATGGGGCTGGCGAGGGAAGGAGGCGGGGGGGAAATGCAGAGGAGAGGAGAAGGGGAAAGAGAGGACAGGGGTGGCGGGAGGGGGAAGGAAGAAGAAGAAGAAGAAAGAGAGGAAAGAAAAGAAAAAGGAAAAAAAGAAAAAAAGAAAGAGAAAGAAAAAAAGAAAGAAAGAAAAAAAAGAAAAGGAAAAAAAATTCACCTTACAAAAACTTTTACAAAATTTTTTATCTTATAAAAACTTCTACAAAAAAAATTTTCACCTTATAAAAACTTTTACAAAATTTTTTCAAAAACTTCTACAGTGCACTACAGTAAAGTTTTAGACAAACTCCCAAAAAACTCAAGTTCCAAACTACAGTAAAGTTTTTGTGAACTGAGTTTGGATTTGACAATAACTGACTCACTAGGCGTGATTTGCAACCCTACTCATAAAGTAAAAAGAAAAAAAAAAAACACTACTCAATAATGTAACTTGGACAGTAGTGTATTATTTAAAATGGGATTAATTATACTTTGCCCCCCTAAATTTGGCCCTTATAGATATTTTATCCTCTGAACTTCAAATATGTACACATTAACTATTATGCCTAACTTGTTGACAAGGTTGAAATGAAATTATATTCTGCATAACCAAAATACCTCCAGCCAATTCTTATGGGTCGGGTTCTCCCTTCATGTTTTAGAATAAGAAAGCACGGATCACAAGAATCTCTCCACTTGAGTAGAATCGTACGAGTGTTAGCAATTTATGAAAATATCCAACATTAGAAGTTGGATTCCCCTCTTCATTAGGGTACAATAGTATAAGTGTTAGACGTTTGTAAAATACCTTGCATATCTACAAAAGTCTACAAAATACGCACTAGTACACACCTTTGCTTAGATAGACTTTTCCTTTCATCTTTATTATTTTCTCTTTTTTCATAATAGACTAGACTAGAATAATATAGCAGATTATTTGGGATAATTTTTTTTAAAAATATCGCAGCACTTTTTTGATGTAATATATATAAAATAAAAAGTAGTTAAAAATATGTTAATGATGCAAACAAATTAACGTGTGTAAATAAAATGCTATCCAAACACACTAATAAGTATGGTTATTTGTAAAACTGAAATAAAAATTGCACTCTTAGCATGCTATTTGTGATGATCCCACCTCTCCGTAAGGTTAACTCAATGATTTGGCGGACCGTCTGCCCAATTCTCATCAAGACTCACTCACTTACATTTTTGAAATAGTCTTTCACGCCTCTAGATTAACATATAAGTTCCATTCATCTAAGAATTTCAACTTAATTTACAACCAAAAAATGAAACATAGGATTTCATTACCAAATATCCCAAATACATTTCATCTACAAAAATACAAGTACATGAAAATTATACACACTATTTCACGCTTACTTGCTCTGGCCTCCACTCTTGTAAGGAAAACAAAAACTAAATGAATAAGCTAAAAGTCCAGCGAGTTTCCCAAACAAGCGGTCAGGTAGATAAAACATGGAAGTATTACATTTAACAATTTACACACTTTGCACAATACTAAACAGTCAATCGAGAAACAAACATTCAATCATTAAGGATACGTGCTCAATTGGAGCCATTCATTCAGTCATTCAGTCGCCGTTCATTTCCCTTATACCTCCGACATTTAAAACATTTAAAAGTGAAAACTCTTTCAATGTTTATTTCATTCATTTATTTCAATCATTGCATTGCATTCACTGTCCAGTTCTCCATCCGATTTCGTGGTCATACTCGAGTATACCAAATACTGTTTTCGGGTCACCAGCCGCCCGACTGAATCGCTTCTGTCTCAAGTTGACTGAAAACGAACGGCAACGGCCCAATTCAACCAAAGACTTACATTCATGCATAAATAATATTCAATCATTTGATCATTGAAAATTCACATTCACTTAAGTCAAGTGCGATAAAATACACACTCGTTCATTGAAAATCCTTTTAACAATCATTAAAAAATATTTAACATTCAATCAAACATTCACAACGTTCCACATAGTCATTGGAAGCACAACGTGTAACGAACAATTACCAATCAATAGCAATTTTTCATTTCAACCCTGATTCGTCCTCCTGAACTCTCTCGAATTTTGTGATCATATATTATATTAAAAAACTAGCAAAACCAAATCAAATTACATGAAGAAAATAAGATTTCAAAACTTCATTTAGAAAATATATCAATTTATAAGTTTTATACCCATATAATTTATCAAAAATATAACATTTTCTTATTCAAATCAAGGAAAAACCTCATGTGCATACTAAATCAATGTTTCAAGAGTCATTTGGAGTACACGAGCATTGATTATAGTCAAACGTTTGAGGAAATTAGAATAAAACTTTCAAAGTGCAAAGTTGAAAATTGTCCAACTAGAAAATGATTTGAAAAAACTCATTTCTTTTTACTTAAATCTCTTGTCTTGGCCCAAAACTAATACACATGCAAAGAAATAGATTATATCAAGTGTTTTGAGTAAAATCATATACAAGAGAAAAATAAAAATACTCTAAATTCACACCTCAACTCTCGCTTGCTAATATCAAAGGAAGATCATATAAATATAATTTATATAAATAAACCTCATGGGTTAATAACCTTATGCACAATACATGCATGCTCCTTTTGTTTTTGAAAAGAAAATGAGTAGAATATTTTAATTTTAAAACTTGGCATATGCAACCAAACATCATGTGTAAAATGGTCATCACGTTTACCATGCACAATGTATGAATGTGGGCAAAAATTCAACTCATATACCACCACTAGAGTGGATTCAAATATCCCTTAACAATCTAAATCCAAATCATCCAACAATCATATTCCCACTTTCACTTCCACTCACTTATCTACAAGAAAATAAATGGATAGCATTTTTTCTATTTTTTCTTACATTTTTCCTCCAATTTTAAAGCTAATTTTCATAGCCAAACAGCCCAAACAAATCCACAAGTGATAAGATACAAGAGATTCTTATTTTAAGCCACAAAATGAACTAAATTAGGCATGTACCAAGCATGTCTTTAACATATGTCTAACTTGAAAATTTAAATCCTAAACTGAAATTTAACACCAAAAGTTAGAAATCCTTCAAGTGAAACAAAAAATACATGTACAAATTAGAAAATCCTCATGGCAGCCCAAAATTTCATAACAAGTTGAAAAATAATAATTCAAGATTGGAAATTTCGAATAAAAGCTGAAAATTAACCATTAAAGTTGGAAATTGTACATAGAAGCTAGAAAACCTCATCTCAAAGCTAAAAAGTTCATCCAACTTCATATCAAAACCAAATCATTCATATCAAGGCTAACTAACACATTCCAAAACTGAAAATTGCAAAACACTAAGAAAAATCATGAATCTTTCATAAAATCCATCATAATCAAATCATATGTTGTTTAAATGGCAAAATAAGAAGGAAAAGAGAGGTTCTTAGTATAATACGTCAAGATCCCAAGATAAGTTGCAAGACAAGAGTTTTCTTCCTCAATTGACTCTACCAAAAGCTTCCCTCCAAATTTAACTCAAGATTAATCGGTATGGATTAGAATTCGTGTTTGAATTGCTCATGAATTGAACAAGAAATCAAGGATAGAAGTTGGTTTCTTTTCTCTCCCTTTCTCTCTCAATATTTTGGCCAAAGCAAGAAAGAAGATGAAGGAATTTTGGTGTTAATTTTGGAGATAAATACAAGTTTTTTTAAGTCAAAGTTTTAGTCAAGACTTGATGGATAATCCACAAGTGGCGAAACAAGAGTAATACCTATCTCTTTGTCTCTTGCTTGTCTCTAATCTCCAAGATAACTAGAGTTTCT